TGTGATTGTGTGTGTTCACGTGTGTGTGTGTGTGTGTGTGTGTGTGTGTGCTCCTGCTGACATCCCATTGTGTCCGTCGCCCCCGACTGGATCATCACCACAGTGACTGTACTGTTCACATTCACTTTTTTTTCTCTCGCCTTCCTGCTGCAGCTGACTCTCGCTTGCTTTCATGTTTCTCTGTTCTCTCGTCTGTTCTCTCCCGTAACGACACACAGCATTCCCTGAACGAGTGTATCACAGCAGACTGTGTTTTCATTCATCTTCTCATGAACAAACAATCATTTGATTGTTGTAAAGCCGCAGGAACGTGTTTTAATGTTTCCTTGTGCTCACCAACATTGGAGCTCTTTCAGCTTAAGAAGGTCACTGACTCACTATGCTGTGGCTTCAGTGATCATTACATCATTTCATCATCTGAAAAATACCAAATATATCTTGGTTGACGGACACAAACACACATATCTGTAGAGGAAATAATAGTCTTTTCTATCGCTAAGTCAGTGGTGGAAAGTAACAAAGTACATTCACTATTGTAAGTAACTACCAATACTAAATACTATACTTAAATACGGTGTTGAGGTCTATGTGAGTATTTCTATTCCATGCAATTTAAAACTTTAACTCCATCACATTTCAGCTTTAAATATGGTGTTTTTTACTTTACCATGTTTATCTGACAACTACTTACTTTGCAGATTAAGATGTCACATCAATAAAACATGTGATAATCGTATAGAATACAATGAATTGTTATAGATTAAACCAGTGGTTCTGAACCTTTTTGGAGTTTAGTAGTGGCCTCTTGTCACATTTCAGATGTCTAAAAGTTGTCAAAAAATTGTTCCACTAAAGAGATATTTTCCCTCTAAACTTGTGTAATTATTTCCCAACAAAGAAAAAGAAGTCTGAAAATGGCTACAAAAGTGTAAAGTGCTTGTTTTGTCTTATTTCCTACATCATTCTCTTCTCCACAGACCTAGGCACTGTGAGACAACACGCTCATTGAGGGGAAAACTTGGAGAGCGGTCGCCTGTTAGTCATCCAAAAAAACTGAGGAAGTGACACTAAGAGCTAAATATACAGCAGTTCATTTTACTAAAGGATGGAATGTATTTTTTTTAAACTATAATACTCCCTAGTTTGATAAAAAGAAAAATAAGTGCCACGCTGTGTGCATAGAATTCGTCGATAGTCATTACATTTTAAATATTTCTTTATGAATCGTTGAAATTGTATTCATCCATCACATGATGAGGCACTTAGACTGATTAAATGGTAAAGCACATAATTCAGATGCATAGCTGCATCAGTATCAACAATCTCACAATATCATATAAACTGTACTGATATCACTCACATAATGAGTGATTTTGCTAAAAATAAGGGTAATATCAGCAAAATAAAAGTAGGATTTTAATGACGATCTTTTACTTGTAATAGAGTATTTTGTTTTGGTACTTTTACTCAAGTAAAGGATGTGAATACTTCTTCCATCATTGGTAAAATCCTCGGCTTGCTTGCTTGTGTCCTCGTTTCTTTCTGCTACAGGAGGTCACGCTGACAGACATGTCGATATGCTAATTTAATAGGACATCCGCATGACTCCCTCCGTTGTCTCATGAATGAGTACTTTTACCCAACCAACTGCTAACCCACAGCGTTTTAAGTGAGATTTGGGGCCTTTGAACGTTTTTTATTTCAATTGTTGATGATCTTCACAATTGTACACAAGAAGCACTCAAGCTGCCCCATCTCCCGCCTGATTATTTTCCCCTCATTAATATGCAAATCTATGCAGCAAGGTCCTCCACAGATCTAATCAGACCATCTCCTCTTATGGGTCAACTGTGGTGTGAGCGTAAAGCCTTTGACGTGAGCTTTCAATGAGTAGACGTCCTCATATGATTGCTGGCGTATGTACACACACACATATATGAAGTAGCATGCAGAGTGGCGTGGACGGAAATTTAAATCTGGGTCTGAAACTATTTAAAGAAAAGCTGGGTGGTGACGCCATCGCATTGACATCACTTGAGGCGTCATTCTGGAGCAGGAGGAGATTTTGGGGTCAGTTAGTCTAGAAATGTCTGACAAAGTTAGAGCACTGGTCTGTAATGTTCGTCGTATATTTTCATTTTAGCATTGACAGAAAGCTTTAAGTTGTCACATTTGACTTGTACATAACTGTGGTTTAGCTGCATTTAGCAGACGACATAGGGAAATAAATACCTGGCTTTGGAAACTAATATGAAACATTTCCACTTGGAGAATGTGAAACAGAGTGGAGAAGAGTGGCATCTGTTGGCCGCAGAGGTGCATCACACGGTAAACTGCAAGTGGAGATGATCTGAAGAGTTAAACTCTTTGTGCCTGACTATCGAGCCTCTGTAATGCAGATCTGAACTTTCTGTGGCTTTTGCTACCAGAAACCACATCAACTCTGATGTGTCACTATATTGTTTAACAGAACGTGTGTGAATCCAATGTGTACTTGAATTCTTTCTGATCAAAGTGTGTGTTACGTGGTGAATTAAAACAAAGAGAAATCAAATAATAAACGATTTTCTTTTTATATATAAAAGCAGAAAACAATCTTTCAGTACACCACTTGAAACCACATTAAAACAGATAAAAGCAAAGATTATACTGTAAAAAAGAGCGTTTTTTGCATTTATTTTTAAGCTAACATATAAATCTATATGAAGATAAATCACCAATATGCCTTTTTTGAGTTTGGTGTTAGTTAGTTTGGAGCCTCTCTTTGGCCTTGATGATGAACTTGACCCACTGCAGAGACGGGTCGGCACAGATTTCAGCTCCGTTCTTCATCGTCAAGCTAAAACAGAGACAAAAAACGTTGATGGCAAGCAGATACTCTACATTTGTCACCATTTGTTGCATGTCTGTTTTATCTAAATCTATATTCACACTTATGTCTGTACGTTTGCTTACATTTCTGGATGTCTGTGAATCGTGCTGTGTTTGTTCTCTTCACTGTGTATGAAGTGATTTATTGGTTGAAGTTTAATAACAGGAGATAAGACACTCACGAGACACCTTCCATTGAACACCGCTCGTCTGTGAACTTGTAGCTCACCACCTTGTCCTTCCGCAACCTTGTGGAGATGAAGTTGAAACAGCACTCATTTGGACCGAAGCTGCCTGGGACACAAATAAAGATAGAAAATGCCGTGAACGTGTAGAGAGACTGAGTGGTATTCAACACAAAACCATCACATCCACATCTTTTTGGCTCATTTTCACATTTACAGTTTTTACCCCTTCGAGAATAATTCAGCTGTGATCTGAGGACGGCTGTGGTTTGACTCCGATATAACTCAACTTTTTGCTAAAACAAAAAACAAATCAATTTAAATGCTCTTAACTTACTAGTATTTATATTTAAAAAATAGTAAATCTACTGCAAAGTTTCTGCAAAATCTTTTAATAATGTTTTTGGACCTTTCCCCTCCCGACATCTCAAACGTATTAGGCCGACTCAGCCTTTAGAAGCTTTTCTTTATTTTTATCTAATTTTTTTATTATGGGACCGTATCATTGATCATTTTGACCTGTTATGAGGTAATACTTACAGTAGTTAGTCCCTAGGAGAGATATTGAGAAATTATGACAGTGACCTGAAGATAGAGTTGACCTTTTAAGAAATAAAAAGTGCCACGCAGACAGCTTACCTTGATATGCCACGACAGCGAGAGACGAGAAAAGCAAGGTACAGGTCATCAGAGTCATGGGGTTCTTCATCATCATCATCATGATTATCTTCAATGTCCTGCACGTCTTGTTGTCTTGAAGATGTGTTCTTTCTGTCCGCTTCGCTCATAGCCCCTCACTTTTATTATGCTGTGCGTGCGTGCGTGTGTGTGTGTGTGTGTGTGTGTGTGTGTGTGTGTGTGTGTGTGTGTAGGTGTGCGTGTGTGTGTGTTCCATGACAAACATCATAAAGACCTTAACCTGAAACTACCCAGCATGCAAACTGCAGGCATGTGGTCAGCACTTCTCAGTAAAAAGTGAGTGGTGGGGGACAGAAGATGTTGTGGGTGTGAAGCAGGTTTTATAAAATAGAAAACACATCTGTACCTCAGTAATTCCACGTGTGTGTGTGTGTGTGTGTGTATGTTTGTGCAGTGTGCAGATGCACTGTGGTCTAAAGTCCCTTTCCCTATCGCTGGTTCATGTGTTGTGTTTTTTTAAAAGGATGTTGTTTAAAATGCTGAGACATGATAAATGAAACATCTTTGATCTAAGTGATGGGTATTAAACAAGATAATGTGCATAAACAAGGCCAAAAACATCTGTTTTAAAAAGCATTTAAAAAATGTCACTCTTCTCAAAGCCCAGGTTAACAACTAAAGTTTTATTGGAGACAAAAGTCTGTTTACAACAAGTCTCTCTGTGACTGGTGACATTTTAAGAAGATTGTGATTGTTTGTTCTCTGTTTGCTCTCTTTGTTGTATTGATTATTTACTGAATGTGCTTTTCATAGCGCTTCTGTAAAAAAAGGGGGGGAGGGGGGGACAACAACTGTGGGACAAAAGCTGCATTTCTGCATGAATCTAACAGGATTTTTTTTAATTTAAGATCATATTTGACTATTTTGATGGCATTAATACTGACTAATAATAAGTTATTAACTAATAATAACTAATATTAACGAAGAAAACAATAGATGAGGTTAATAGAATTACAGAAAAGAAGAAGAATGTAGAGAACCACATGGAGCAATGATGTAATGAATTAGGGGCGCAGCAAATAATATGGATTGGTATGTTTGGGGGTCTAAAGAAAGCTTATGAATGTCATATATATATGTTATATTTTTGTATGAAAAACATCATCTTAGAGATTTTTGACAGGAAATGAAGGGACGGAGGTGGGGAGGGGCCCCAGCTGGACCGTAAACAAGTTCTAATGTGAGACACACACTTGTCAAATCATCCTGAACCAACTACATATTTGTATCGCTAGTTTAATTCCCAGCTAAATGTCAAGTGATAACAGGTCCAGATTCTATATACTATATATATACTGTTTCTCTGTGTGACTTGTTGGCTCAGAACAGATGTGTATTCTTTTTTTGTTGCATTTAAGGTTTGTCGTATTCTGTGTTTGTTACTGTGTCTCATAATGTGCATTTAAATGAACAGAAAGGAATACAGCCTGTGTGTATAATGTTACTTCTACCACATGGGTAAAGAGACAACCAGATCAATAACCCAGACAGACACACTGACTGCTGCAGAAATCAACTCTCTGCAACCTCAAAGTGAAACCTGTGGTTTGTAACAGAGGAAGGGGTGTAATGCAACAAGAATGCACTAACACAGACGTGCATGTGCAAACAGTAAAATATCTCCTTCGGCAAGCAAATTTGACATGACATGTGTTAGACACCGTTTATTATATGTAGGCCTACAAGGCTCAAAACCTTTAGGAAAATATATAAAGAAAATACATTAACATTTGACATGAATAAAAAACAGCCGATAACCTCACGTCTTGTCAAATCCAAATATTCTCAAAGGAGATTTTGGTAAAACACTGTATAATATAATTCTGCTTCAGGTGTAACTACTGGGAAATTTGCTCAGAAAGTGTAGAATGGAAAACCCAACTTACAGATTGCGGTGATGCAGTGGGAGTGATGGGGAAGGGGGCGTTATTTGCCAACATGACGCATCGAGGTTCACGGCAAATTAACTCATCTTAACTTCCCCTTCTTGCCTTGCTTTTATGATTCTTTCCAGGTTTAAGTCAGCTAATTCATCAGAGAACACAAAGAACTGGCCAAAGAAGATTTGTAGGAACATTTAAACAAAATGTTCTGAGTTGAAAATGACAACGCAGCCGGCTCTATTGGTGGAACTAGTAGTAATGCTGGGGTTGTGAGTTCAGAATCAGAATCGGTTTATTGCCAATCACGTTTGCTAATAAAATAAATTTTGCTTGGTGATTGGTGCGTGACAATAAACACAGTTTAAGAATAGTATAAGACATCATTTAAGAATACAAAATAAAAATACACGATAAAATATGATAAATAAAGAGAGCGCGCAGACAAATCATTCCGAGCCAGGGTAGCTGTTTCCCCCTGTTTCAAGTCCTGATGCTAAGCTAAGTTAACCGGCTGCTGGCTGTAACTTTTATATTTAGCAGGTATGTGAGGGGGATCAATCTTGTTATCTGTGGAATCTCCACCAGAAAGCAAACAAGTCCCCTCGGTGTGGATTCAAAAGAGCTGTGAAGACAACTAAGTCAGTGTGACAAACTATTAAGATATTTAACTATTTAATTGTTTTTAAAAAAACAGAGGAAACATCGATGATGAGTTGCAATTATGTTTAGGTCCTTTTCGTAACTAAAGAAATTCAACTTATCACAAATATATAAACATTGCATGTAATTATCCATCCATCCATCCATTTTCCACCGCTTATCCGGGGTCGGGTCGCGGTGGCAGCAGGTCAAGCAGGCCGACCCAGACCTCCCTCTCACCGGCAACATGTTCCAGCTCATTCTGGGGGATCCCGAGGCGTTCCCAGGCCAGCGTGCCTGGAAAAACCTCCAGTGGGAGGCGTCCAGGAGGCATCCTAATTAGATGCCCGAACCACCTCAGCTGACTCCTTTCGACGCGAAGGAGTAGCGGCTCTACTCCAAGCTCCCTCCTGATGACCGAGCTCCTTACCCTATCTCTAAGGCTGAGCCCGGCCACTCTACAGAGGAAGCTCATTTCGGCCGCTTGTAACCGCGACCTTGTCCTTTCGGTCACGACCCAGAGTTCGTGACCATAGGTGAGGGTAGGAACGTAGACCAAGTGGTAAATTGAGAGCTTAGCCTTCCGGCTCAGCTCCCTCTTCACCAAGACGGTCCGGTGCAGCGCCTGCTTTACTGCTGCAGCCGCACCGATCCGTCTGTCGATCTCCCGCTCCATCTTACCCTCACTCGTGAACAAGACCCCGAGATACTTGAACTCCTTCGCTTGAGGTAGGCACTCCGTCCCCACCTGGAGGGAGCAATCCACCGGTTTCCGGCAGAGAACCATGGCCTCAGATTTGGAGGTGCTAACTCTCATCCCCGCCGCTTCACACTCGGCTGCAAACCGCCCCAGTGAATGCTGGAGGTCACGATCCGAGGAGGCTAACAGGACCACATCATCTGCAAATAGCGGAGAGGCGATCCCGAGACCCCCGAAACTGACGTTCTCCGCCCCCAGGCTGCGCCTAGATATCCTGTCCATGAAAGTCACGAACAGGACCGGTGACAAAGGGCAGCCCTGGCGGAGGCCAACACCCACCGGGAACATGTCTGACTTATTGCCGAGAATGCGGACACAGCTCCTACTGCAGTCGTACAGAGACCGGATCACCCGTTGTAACGGGTCCGGCACCCCATACTCCCGCAGCACCCCCCACAAGACCCCCCGAGGGACCCGGTCGAAAGCCTTCTCCAAGTCCACAAAGCACATGTAGACTGGTTGGGCAAACTCCCAGAACCCCTCCAGTTGTCTTGCGAGGGTAAAGAGCTGGTCCACTGTTCCACGGCTGGGACGGAATCCGCACTGCTCCTCTTGAATCTGAGGTTCGACAAGCGGTCGGAGCCTCCTTTCCAGCACCCTGGCATAAGCCTTCCCCGGGAGGCTGAGTAGTGTGATACCCCGGTAATTCAAGCACACTCGCCGGTCCCCCTTTTTGAAGATGGGAACCACCACCCCGGTCTGCCATTCCATGGGCACTGATCCCGACCCCCATGCGACATTGAAGAGGCGTGTCAGCCAGGACAGCCCAACTATGTCCAGCGCCTTCAGCATCTCAGGGCGGATCTCATCCACCCCCGGCGCCTTGCCACCAAGGAGCTTTTTAACTACCTCAGCGACCTCTGCCAGGGATATGTGTGAGCCTCCCCCTAGGTCCTCAGGCGCTGCCTCCTCTGCAGAGGACATGTTGGTCGGGTTTAGGAGTTCCTCAAAGTGCTCTTTCCACCGCCCGACGATGTCCTCCGTCCGGGTTAGCAGTTCCCCCCCCCCTGCTGAGAACAGCCTGGGGTAAGCCCTGCTTTCCCTTCCTGAGCCGTCGGATGGTTTGCCAGAACCTCCTTGAGGCCAACCGAAAGTCCTTCTCCATGGCCTCCCCGAACTCCTCCCATGCCCGAGTTTTAGCATTCGCGACCACCGCAGCTGCAGCCCTTCTGGCCTGCCGGTACCTGTCAGCTGCTTCAGGAGACCCCTGGGCCAACCAGGCCTTGAAGGTCTCCTTCTTCAGCTTGACGGCTTCCCTCACCTCCGGTGTCCACCACCGGGTTCTCGGGTTGCCGCCACAACAGGCACCGATGACCTTCCGGCCACAGCTCCTAGCGGCCGCGTCCACAATAGAGGCTTTGAACATGGTCCACTCGGATTCCGTGTCCCCAACCTCCCTCGGGATGTGTGAGAAGTTCTTCCGGAGGTGGGAGTTAAAGACCTCCCGGACAGGGTCCTCCGCCAGACGTTCCCAGTTCACCCACAGTCAGAGCCTTACTCCCCGCAACCCGTAGGCGCATGGAGGCGACCCTCTCGCTCTCTGGGGAGAACTCCAACACAGCGGCGCTCAGCCGGGGGCTCGTGAGTATCCCCACTCCCGCCCGGCGCCTCTCACCCTGGGTAACTCCGGAAAAGGACAAAGTCCAACCCCTCTCCAGGAACTTGGTTCCAGAGCCAACGCTGTGTGTGGAGGTGAGTCCAACTATTTCTAGCTGGTATCGCTCCACCTCCTGCACCAGCTCCGGCTCTTTCCCCGCTAGCAAGGTGACGTTCCACGTCCCTAGAGCTAGTCTATGCCTCCTG